ACTGGACTAGATTTAGTCGCCCCCAATCCGAGACTTTGCTCAGCAAAGACTCGACTTCAGACACAAGTTTGTTCCGGTACTCAGCGACGTTTTCCCGAGAAATATTGGCACGGCCGGTGTATAGAGCATCACCAGTGCTGTCATCCGCATAGCAATGAATGTTACCAGTTAGCAACATATCATTGATATGCAGAAGAAACAGCGTTGGTGATAGCACACAGCCTTGTGGAACACCAGCGTTAATAGGCTTGTAGTCAGAGCATGCACCGTCTACAACGACCTTGATGCTCCGATCTGCAAGGAAGCTGGTGATCCAATTGCATAATTTCTCGGGAAGCCCATAGGAAGGGAGCTTCGAAAGAAGCGCTTTGTGCCAAACCCGATCAAAGGCCTTCGCAATGTCCAGACTAACGGCCAACGCCTCCCCCTTGGACTCTACTGCCTCCGCCCATCTATGGGTCAGGTAGACCAGAAGATCACCAGCTGATCGACCCCGACGAAAACCGTATTGACGGTCACTAATCAGCTGGTGATCCTCAAGGTACCGGATGAGCTGGCAGTTAATAATGGATTCCATTATTTTGGAGAACAAGGAGGTGATCGCGATAGGCCTATAGTTGGATGGGTCTGAGCGGTCGCCTTTTTTAGGGATCGGGTGGACAAAAGCTGTCTTCCATGAATTCGGGACTACGCCTTGGGAGTAGGAGTACCGGAAAAGACGCGTTAGGACCGGTGCCAACTCCGGAGCACACGTCCTCAGCACAATTGGGGGGATTCCGTCAGGCCCACTCGACTTCTGGATGTCCAGGGAGAGCAGTACTTTGCGAACCGAGCGCTGTGAGAACAGCACATCCGGCATGGAGCACTCACACCGCGGGATGGTCGGCGGTGTTTTCCCCCCGTCATCAAGAGTCGAGTTGGACGCAAAAAGGGAGCCTAAAAGGTCGGCTTTGTCTTTTGCGTCATGGGCCAGTGAGTCATCCTCCCTGTGCAGAGATGGTAGTGATGGCTTACAGAAATTCCCTTGGACAGCCTTGGCGAGAGACCAGAATGCACGGGTTCCCGAAGGAAGACGAACTAGTTTCTCGCCAATTCTGCCTATGTGCTCTGACTTTGCCTTGGCAATAACTCTTTTGAAGGACCTGGAGGCGAAGTTATACTTCTTCTTAAGTGTGCTGGTGTTTACATCCCGAGTCGCCGAAGCCGCAGCCCAGGCTTGATAGCACTCCTGCTTACTGCGTAATGCAGTCTTACAGGAGCGACCAAACCAAGGCTGAGATCTGCCTCCGATGGGTACCACAGAAGATGGAATAAATAGTTCCATTCCCTGTAGCACCACATCAGTGACAGAGTCAGCAACAGCGCTGGGATCGTCCGGCGAGAAGCAAACCCGCCCCCATGGGTAGGATGCAAAGAAAGACCGCATTCCATCCCAATCCGCCGACCTGTAATGCCAAACACGGCGGCAACCTGCAGAACGCAACCGCGAAGGGAGCGTGAGTGGCACCACACTCCGGATCAGACAATGGTCCGAAGAGCCGAGAGGGGCATCGACGGAAACCTGATATCCGTCCGGATGAGAGGTCAGCAGAAGGTCCAACAGGGAAGGTGTATAATCCTCCACATCTGGAATCCGCGTAGGCGAAGTAACCAGTTGTGTCAGACCATATGCCAAGGCAAAGTCATAAACAGATCTCCCCGCATGATCGGTTAGACGTGAACCGAGCCATTCGGCATGGTGGGCGTTAAAATCGCCAAGGATCACGATCTCTGCGGATGGGACCTGTTGTAGCAAGGAATCTGTAGCCATTTGGACGTGGTCGATGAGTCGGTCTGTTTCGGCATTACCGCTATGGGACCTATAGAGGCACCCGTAGACGCGCGGATGGTCGTCGCTGTCTACGCGTAGCCAAAGGATGGACAGGTCCGAACCTTCAAGACTGCCGAGGCGTCGAGAACAGATGTCCTCTCTGACATACACGCAAACTCCAGCCCGAGGCACAAAGGAATGCTCCAATTTGTACCCCGGGTAGGAGAGATACGAAATATCAGCCGGAGAGGAAACCTGCGTCTCGGTCAGAAAGAGTAAGGCCGGCTTCGCCGTCTCGAGATGGTAGTGGACGGCGTTTAGGTTAGAGTGAAGTCCCCTGATGTTGCAGTAATTCACGGATAGCGTGGCAGGGGTCGCCTTGGTGTTCTTGCTCAGTTTGCCCCTAGCAGTTATGCTTTTGAGCGGAATTTTGCCCCCCCCCCCCCCCCCAGAATACGCGGGGCAGCCTGAGCACTCACGCTCAGGATCGGAATAACATGGTCGTGGATGCTCAGCGAGGGATTCTCCAGGGGTACTGGTACCCTCCTGGGGTAGTTCATCGTGTAATTCCGCTACCATGTTGATGGGGGGGGGGGGGGGAATTGGGCCTCCGGCCACCTGCACTCACCAGACGAAACGCAGAAGCAAAGCTTCTACTTCACGCCGGTATTCTGTGAGGTCGTGGTACCAACCCGGCTCGAGCCGGCCCATACATGCAACAGCAAAAACTGCTGCGTGGCTCTACCACCGTTAAGGATATCGACAGATAGTACAACCTGTGTTAGCAACTATAGCCCAACTGATCAGTAAGCTGAAGTGGTAATGGGACAACCTTGTAGACATGTAGGAAGTTGATGGTTACAAGTAGTTCTGAACCGTGTTTTGTGACACTCTTTAAGAGAGGTCTATGTAGGTCTATCCAGCAATGGACTTGTGAGGGCTGTAATGATGATGACAATGATGGTGAAGATGATTTTAAGAAATCATTTCTTTCTCCATCAGCCTGCAAAAGTTTAATAATGGACATGGGGGTCTTTCATTAGGTATATTTTTTTTATTATTGCTAAAATTTGCCAATAGTTTGATGTTTTTAAAAATGGCATGTGGATTTCTCAAGTTTTTGTTCATTTTGTGTTAATTATAAATAGCACGTCCTATTACGGATGTACTATAAACTTCTATAAATGTGATATAAAATACTTGACATTGAATTACGGATTTTATCGCGTTTAATTTACTTGTTTAACTTATTTTTAGTTGCCGACGTTTCGGGTGTTTTACAGCACCCATGGTCACGGGGAGACTGAGGTGTTTGTCGGCCCGATGTCATAGTAATCCAGGCTACCTTCAGTTTTGAATATTAATTTTGGTCCGATCTACACAGAACGAGCTTACAGTATCTTGAAGTCTTGCAGTGGTATGCTTGGGTTTGGTTTTAATGTTATTAATTATAGGATCCTAAACTGATGGTGGCACCCATTCATATTTTCTATTGAAATTATCATGTTTTTAATTTAAATAGCCTCGCGAATCATCCATGGTAGAAATCGGTGATTTTGCGAGGATTTCTGGTTTATTAATTCTGATGTAATGGTGGGAACGAATTGAACATGTTCACAGACTGCATACTTCACGTCAGCTATGTGTTCTTTACGCGAGTTTTTACAGATCGTTTACTAGATCTTTTACCCGATGATGCTCTGATAAAACTTGAATTCAAGTAAATTGTCTAGTTCTTTTTTACTTTTGGGCTTTTAAAAAAGAGTATGCTCTTTTCTTGAATAAATAGAAAAATATATTTAGATCTTCTAATGGTGTTATGTGATCAGGTGTGGAAAATGGAATAACCTCCTCTGCCATCGCATTAACATACGTATATACATTAAGCCAGGGAACGATATGGTCTCACAGGAGGAATGAGTTCATTCGGCTTGATACTCTGTCACTCAGCAAAGTTTATAGAAGGCGTGCCCGATTCCGTGACCGGGATAGAAACCAACTCGTCTATTGCACTTCTTGAATTAATAAATTAAATAGTTTTTTTTTTTTGCTGAACTTAGCATATTATATAATTAGGGTACAAATGAGCACACAGTCCACCTGATTCTAAGCGGATGCTATGGCTCATAAATATCTACATTGGGATGTCCCAAAAAATCAAAGTCGTTTTTTTAACGCATACCCTCTTACTTTTTTACTTTTAAGTCAAAACAATTACAAATAAAATTTTAAGAAGTTATGACCTCGGTGTAAATGAAAGCGCGAATCTCACTATTCGCGAGTATATTATCTATTGGGAAAATGCGCGTATTCCTACTAAATCTTTGCCTAATTGTGTGAAAAATCTTGTAAACTTATATCAAGTTTGGAGGGAGTTGCAAAAAATGCACAAAAGACACAAGACATATTTAAGCAGCGCCGTCAAGACATTGTCAACAATTTAGATAATTTGTTTGACATTGCACACGCCGATACGATTCAATTAATAAAAATAAATGATGATAGAATCTTTTTACAGCGTCAAAGAGAAACCAGGCCGACCTGGTCACTTAGCAGGAGTGGATAAAAAGTTGATTGATAGACAGAAAAGAGCGCGCCTCAGAACTATCGAAGAAGAAAAACGACGTGCTAAATATTTGTCTGAGTCGACTCCTTCGACATCATCGTTACAAGACGACTCATCATCTGAATCTAATGAAAACTTAGATTCACAAGAGGATGTACCGAATCTTGTCGAAAACACGCAACCCAGCAAAACACCTCTGCGTAGAGACTTTATTACTCCAAAATTAGTTGCAGCGCTAGATAGGTGTCAATTGAGTATGAGAGATTCTGTGTTAATTCTTGAAGCAACTATTGAAGCGCTTGGTTATAATATTGATTAATTTCCGCAATAACGCGCTGAAGCCATAAAAATTTATTTCCAAAATGGTACCGGAAGTTGTGACTGTTCATTCTCTTGCCTGCTTTAAATGCTCGGAAATCAAAACAAGAACGTTTTGAACAACTTATTGCTGTACCAAGACTAGAAAATTCTACAGGTAGTGAACAAGCACAGGCAGTTTGGAATGCAATTGTAGACTGAAATTTAGAAGACAAAGTGCAAATTATTTGTTGTGATACTACTTCTTCAAATACAGGTCGTGTAAACGGTGCCTGTGTGATTCTTGAACAAAAACTGAACAGAGAAATGCTTATTTTCGCATGTCGACATCACGTGTATGAATTGGTCTTAAAAGGGGTATTTGATGCAAAAATCAGTCAAGTAGTTAGTCCTGATATTCCACTCTTTAAAAAATTCCGAGAAAGCTGGAAAAGTATTGATGCTGATAAAATACAGAACTATAGAAAAAAACTTACACAGCACCTGACTGACTTCGAAATTGTCAACTTGCTACAGTTTTACCGAACTGAACTGACAAAAGAAATAGTCAGAGATGATTATCCAGAGTTAATAGAGCTATTTGTGATATTTTTAGGTGAAGATATCGAAAAAGAATTTAAAATCCGACCTACAGGTGCCAAGCATCAAGCTAGATGGATGGCGAGAGCGATTTAATCCCTGAAAATATCGTTACTTAGTGCTCAATTCAAGATCACAAGCAGAGACAAGGCGGCATTGATTGACGTTTGCTTCTTCATCGTAATATCCTACGTTAAACCATGGCTTCAATGCACTTCAGCAATAAAATCACCTTACCAAGATTTGTGCTTTTTGAAATCAATGAAGTGTTACGAGAAAATTGATAAAACGATCTCAAAAGCAGCCTTGCAGAAGATTACTCAGCATTTGTGGTATTTAACTGACAAAGTTTCTATATTATCACTGTTTGATGATGATGTGGACCAAGAAACTAAAGTCAAAATGGTTCAAAATTTAACGAAAGAGGAAGAAATAACTCATGGAATCCCATCGGAAGAACTTTGCGGTCCATTATTAAAGGCATTAATAGAAAAATAAATTTTTAATTTCGTTCCCTGTGAAAGTATATTTTTTTAACACTCTTATCTTATTTTCTTTCAGAAAAAACATCTCCTTCCTCCTTGTTCAACCGCCTTAAAATTGAAGACAGTTTTCTACATGAATGTCCTACTTTGTGGTCAAATAATGCTTCGTTTCAAGAAGCCAGGAAAAAAGTTTCGGCACTGACGGTAGTAAAGGATGTAGCCGAAAGAGCGATTAAGTTAATGCAAGACTTTCATGGATTAATCACTGTTGAGGAGGAACAAAAACAATTTTTATTACGTTGCGTACAAGATCACCGGAAATTTTGTCCTGATTCTAAAAAACAAACGTTAAAAACAAAATTTGAACAATAATAACATTTTTTAATGTAAACGAATAAATATTATACTATTTGGGTCTATTGGTGTTTTAATTAAGTAATAAAAACTAAGTTCTTAATTCCTCTTACAGTAAGTCAGTACAAATTTTCAGTCAAAATTTTGGCATCAAGTCGGCACGGGTTATCATTGTCCAATCGATCCGAATAAAAATAGAGGGTATGCGAAATTGATTTCGCGAAAAAAAAATCCCTTATGTCTTCTGACATCCTAATCTACATAATCATCTTCGATTACGAATCAAAATGCAGATGCGTTGTCACCCCTGAGGACTAAGATGGAATCCTCGTTTCCAGTAAAAAAGGTCTCCGGTTCTCTACACTCACTATACGAAACACAGCACCATTAAACTGTTATTTTACGCTGGTATTCTGTCGGAGCGTGGTCCTTCCTCGGTCGAGCCGACCCATTCGTGCTACAACTAAACCAGTAATATAGTTGCAGCACGTCTCTAACACCTATAAAAATTTAAATATTCACCGTACGAAGGCGAATTCTACGCCAATAACCGCAAAATCTGCTCGAAACGCACTCTACCGTAATTAAAAAGCAAAATATTCCTCCCCATGTGATTAAAGGCGGCCCTCTTCCCACCCACCACCCCTTTCTTTCCACGTTGGTCAGTTAGAATCCAACTGCCTTACAAGCCATGTCGTAGCCTTAGAAACTGAAGACAAAACAAAATAAACAAGGTTCTTCGATTAAGTTCTTCCAAAATAAATATAAAAATTGTTGAAATCTACCCAAAAATAACTTGTGTAATTTTTATGTGTTTTAAATATGCATAGTATATTTTTCAACTGATTAAGTACTTATTTGCAAATTAATGACCGACAGTTTGAAATACAACCTTCAAGTGTTCAGTGCTATTTTTCTTCGGCCACTAAAACCATGTTTCTTCGTCCTAAGAAATGAGAATTTCCGTTATTGTCGCTTTATAACGCTCGGATTTACGATAATATTCTAAAATGGCGTCATTAACTCGTTTTCGCGCCAAAAAAACAATGGTGGCTGTTGTGTATTTAGTTATTTTTTATCTTTTTAAAATTAAATTGAAATGATGACATTGGAAAAGTGAATTGTGAGACAAAAAGCGAAAATGTGAATTCATTTTGATATTTATCTGTACGTTCGTGTGTTTGTGTGTTAGTTGTGATCAACCTAAGCTGTAAAGTTTCCTGTTTAAGGTTTGTATAAAACAATAAATTTCTTTTGCTGTATTTAACGTCGTTGCTTACTCATAGGGCGTTAAAGAAACATCTTTTCGGTAGCATACTTGAGTGTGACGTCAATAGACTTTATTTTAGTTTATTAGCATAACGTTCTAGGTGGCCTTTTCCTTTCCTTTTTTGTTAAGGAGTCCGTTTCACAAAATACCAGCGTTAAATAGCAGAATGCTGCTGTGTTGAGAACCGGAGACCCTTTTCACTGGAAACAAGGCATTCCATTCCAGGCTTTTGTTTCTTAATCTAGCTTATATGTAGATGTCTATTGGTCTACAGTCAATTTACCATCAGGTGGACTGTGTGCTTGTTTGTATATTCTATAAAAAAACACTCTCTTACATATTTCTGCCACCAACCAGCTCTGCTTGCACTGCTGTGCAGTTCCAGTCTGAATGATATGAAGAGCCATTATACATACAGGCTGTGAGGGATTCCATCTTAGTAGTACAGAGTAGTACAGAGGTGACTAACAGATATGTAGCCCATTTTGTCTAAAGTTGGTTACGATAGTCCATGGACTACATTAGCCACTTACTATCAGGTGAACTGCAAGTACATTTATCTCTTCAATTTTATAAAAAACAAAAAAGCAACTTAAGGGGTGACTGCACTATAAAGATAACCATCAGAAAGTGAGTCAAATTCAATGACTAAAGTGTGGATTTGCTTTTTATAAAAGTCGTGACTAATAGAAGAGTGAATTCCTAAAAACAATATAATTTAGTCATAAACTATGTTATTCGAATATATATGTCATATTAATACAAGCTATTTCTAATTTGTTTTGTGTGGTTAATTGTGTAACATACATGAATATAAGCTGTTATTTAAAAAAAAGTCCTGCTGGGTTTCTTACTGGTTCTTCTCAGGAGGTTTTTTTCGAACCAGTGGTAATTAAACAAAAGAGTGACTTCAATAAGTATTATTTATAATTTATATTGAATAAAAATTTTCTGTTTTTGTTTTATATTACCAAATGAGCCATAGTTATTACTAAAATTTTTAATTGCAATTTTTAAGCTCTGATTTACTATGAGTTTGGCAGTAAAAGAAAGCAGGATTACCTTAATTGTTATCTTCATATTTTTGAGAAAATTAAAAATTGCAAGACACGTGAAGTCTGCAAACACGCATCAACACCAAAGTAGCGCACGGCACCTTTCCACAAGTTAGACGTACCTTTACAAAGCTGTGGGACTTTTTTAGAATTAGGGTGACAAACGAGCACGTAGTCCTGATGAAAATTGAATGCCATGACCAATAGACATCTACATCTATCTTCGATTAAGAATAAAAGTACAGATGCGTTGTCACACCTTGTAGTGTAGTGGCGGTGTTAGAAAATCTACAATCTCATATCGTTCTGTGGGTGTCGTAAGAGGCAATAGAGGAAAACTAATACAGAATATGGATAGCAGCATCTTTCTAATAGCAACTGAAACCCAACAGCAATATTCTGCTGTTTCACACTGGTATTCTGTGGGAGCGTGGTCTTACTCGGTGGTCGTGCTACAGCTATGTACAGCTAGCATAGCTGCAGCGTGGCTCTACCACGTGAGACGAATTTAGGCTGGGTATTTAATACAGCTTAGATGGTTAGCGCTCGCTGTAAATTTCACAATACGCGAGCAACCCGGATTCGATCCCCGCCGGCACCAATGAAATTGTTAATTGCAATTTTATGTGCTGATTTACCACGTGCTCGACGATGAAAGAAAACATCGTGAGGAAACCTCCATGAATGAGAAATAAGAAAACGAAAATTCGTCAACACGCATTGGGGCAGTGTGGCGAACGCACTCACAGAGTACTAGCGTAAAATAGCAGCTTAATGCTGCTGCGTTTCGTATGGTGAGTGTAGAGAACCGGAGACCCTTTTTACTGGAAACAAGGAATTCCATCTTGGTCCTCAAGGGTGACAACGCATCTTTATTTTGATTGATGCCAGTAAGAGATGTCAATGAGCGATAGCATCCACTTACCATCAAGTGAGACTCTTGATGGTAAGTGGATGCTCGTTTATCACCCTTATTCTATGAAAAAAAAATAAGTCAAAGAAAAAAAATATATTTGAATGCTTTTGAATATTCTACTTATTCTTTTTTGCCAATAGCCCACTGTTAGACATTGGCCTCTCCCGTTATTGGTCAGGGTAGGTCTACCAATTTAACGTCTGGCGTGAACTGGTTGGTGACACAGCCATCTATCGGAAGCAAAAACTTCTATATATAACAGACGGACTCTGCGGCCCTAATACATTGCGCGCTAAGTTACGGTCAATTCTCCCTAACTCCTTTAGTTGACTGCGAGCGGGCGAGAAGACTAGTTCTTTATTTTGTAAACCGCAAACGTTGTTTTCGGCAATTTAATACAGATTCTTTTTAATGTGACTTGGAAAACAATGTCATTATTTATGTGCGCACTTAGTCGTCGTGATTTGGAGTTTCAGATAAAAACAGCAAGTTTCATAAATGAAAATAAAATTGTGTGGCATATTTACCGTGCCAGCTATCCGCCTGAATCCATTGCTGCGGCTCAGTTTTTCTTCAGAATTGCCGGTCTAAAAGTATAAATAGAACATATAAGTCGTTGATCGGAAGGAATACATCTTTTTGTCCTTTCTAATAGTCGTATCACTCTTACTTAGTGTTGCCAGGTATCTCAATTTGCGCGGGACTTCACGATTTTGACCAGACTTTACCACTGGTTCGGAAAAAACCTATGTCCTGGCAAGAACCAGCAAGAAAAACTGCGGAACTTTAAAAAAATATATTTACAATACATTGAGCTATAATGTACTACGTACTAGAGAAACTATTCCAAACAAAAAATGTGCGCTATTTTTTTTATAGTATAGGGTGACAAACGAGCACACAGTCCACCTGATGGTAAGTGGTTGCTGTGGCCCATAGACATCTACATTTATCCTCGTTTGTGAATGAAAATGCAGATGCGTTGCCACCCGTGAGGACTAAGATGGAATGCCTCGTTTCCAGTAAAAAGGGTCTCCGGTTCTCTACACTCACCATACGAAACACAGCAGTGTTAAGCTGCTATTTGACGCTGGTATTCTGTGAGAGTGTGCTCCTTACCCGGTCGGGCCGACCCATTCGTGCTACAAATATACTACTAATATAGCTGCAGCATGGCTCTACCACGTAAAAAATTTCTATGTCTTCGCGCATGCGCGGTAAAAGTAGAGTCGCGCATGCGCAGTTTTTGTCATCATAGATTATACGTAGGTAGAATGATCAGTATGTAATAAGTTTTTTTTTATAGCATAGGGTGACAAACGAGCACACAGTCTATTTGATGGTAAGTGGTTGCTGTGACCCATAGACATCTACATTTATCCTCAATAAAGAATCAAAATGCAGATGCGTCGTTACCCGTGGGGACTAAAAGGGAATGCCGCTTTTCCAGTAAAAAGCGTTAAGCTGCTATTTTACGCTGGTATTCTGTGAGAGCGTGGTCCTTCTCCGGTCGAGCCGACCCACTCGTGCAACAAATGTACTATTGATACAGATGGAGCACAGCTCTACCAGGTTGTTCGCGTAAATATATAAAATCATTATATAAGGCTAATTTATTCGTAAGCTATATAGCGATGTGACTCATCGTAAACTATAATTGATTGTATATTTGACTGTTCATACCCACACGTGCGTTTTGAAATTTAAGAGTGGAATCTCAGTATGTTTAACGATAGTAGGCGAAGATTAACTATCTACTTACTGTATGACTAACTAT